GGGGGGGGGGGGGGGGGGGGGGGGGGGGGGGGGGGGGGGGGGGGGGGGGGGGGGGGGGGGGGGGGGGGGGGGGGCTCCATCCGGCCAACAGCACCGGGCCGCGCCAGTGCCCAGCAGGCAGGAGCCGATTGGCCGCCATCCCATCGCAGGCGGTGGCACGTTGTCGCGGGTTTTGTCTGAGGGTCGCCACAGGCCGAGGCCCGAGGCTGGCGGGCCGGAAGATGCCAGGAAGGGCGGCCACAAGGGCGACCGTCGAGAATGCCGCCTGCCTGCCTGCTTGCGTGGGGGCCCGGTGGCACCCGGGGAGGGAGGAGCGGCCGAGGCAACGACTTGCGCGCTTGCCACTGCCCCCCCCTCCCCCGTGCTGGGGCAAGCAAATGTCAGCCCCCCGGCCGCCAGGGCCCGCAGACCGGATGACGCCCATGTGCGAGCCGTCGGGGCCCGGAAGGGGGATCCGGCCGTCGGGTGACGGGGCACGGCGGCTCGAGTGGCCCGTGGGATGGGCAGCGCGCCGGGTCATCAAGGACGCGAGTCCAGGCTAGGACGCGAAGCAGCAAGCATAACGGATGGATGGATGAATGTGGGGGGGAGGGGGGAGGAAGGTGCGGGATGTTCCACCCCCGGGCTGGGACCACGGCGGAGGCGGGTCACTTGTAGGGGGGGGGGGGCGGGCGAGCAAGTGTGTGTGTGCGACCGGCTGCCGTCCTCGCTCCCGGCAGAACCGGCCAGGTGCCACCGGATGCTGCCGCCGCACGGTGTCCCAGGCGGCCGATTGTTCTTGGGGGACGCCCCGCCGCGCTGGTTTCCCGCCCCCCGGGGGGGGCGGGCGCGCCCGGCCGGGGCCGGGCTCTCTCCGGCCCTGCGGGTGGCGGCCCGCGAGTTGGAGCCCTTCTCTCGATGCGGGGCCACGGCCAAGTGCGAGCGCGCCTGCGTCTGAACGTCCGGCCAGCTGCACATCCTCCACCTCCCTCCCTTTGTCGTTCCCCCCTCCCCAACTTCCTCCTTGACCGTCTCCGACAGTGATGCTGACCGGGCAAGTCCTGCGCCTGCCGGGCTCGCCGGCTCGACGGAGCTGGTCTCTCCCCGGCCGCTGGGCATGTGCATGCGACTGCGGCCGAGCCCAACGCCCCGATGAGGATGTCGCTGCCGCATGTACGGGCATTCTCCTCGGCCGCTGGAAGCACCGCCACCGCGGCGGCCGACCCCCGCGCGCTGGCCAGCTACGACACCGAGCGTGCCGGGGGGCGCCTCTGCCGGGCCATCGCGGCCCGGGGGGCGCCCCTGCCGCATGGGGTTCGATGATGCGGCCGGCCTGCGGACAGGCATCGGGAGGATTTCCCCCCTGGCGGGGCTGGGCATTCCCGGCCGATTGCCGGGGATCGATCGGACATCGGTGCAAGGTCTGGTGATTGGTTGCGGCCGGGCGCTGGGCCCTCCCCCGGCCTGGCGACCGCGACATGCCCCACGGGAAGGGCGCTGGTCTCTGGGCATCTGGTGCTGGAGGATATGGGGAGCCCAGTTCGGCGGAACCCGCCGGTGCTGGTGGCCGCTCTACACCGACTCGTAGGCCTGCCGGCGAAGCAGCCCCCCGGCCCGCTGGGGGAGCATGCGCCGGGGATGTTGGCCAGGCCGGCACGGGGTCGGAACGTGCGCCTTGGCCGGCTGGGGCGCCTGCTGTTCGTGAGGCCTCCCTTGTCTAGGCCGACAAGCGCCACGCTCCTTTCGACCTGCCTGATGTCCGGCTTGGCGGCCACCAGCAAGCGTCCTCCCCCCCCCCCCCGGGGCATGAGGATATGTTGGTGTTTCAAATGTCGGCCGGACGGTCGGGAGCACTGCGGGCCGCATTGACCGCCAGGCTGCCGGGCCCACCGGCGGTCTCGGCGGCGACAATCCAGAGCTAGGCAAATGTGGATGGTGGCACCTTCGCGCCCTGGACGGACCGCACCCATGGCCGGGACATGTCATCCGTTCGCGCGCGCGCGCGCGGAGGGAGGAGGGAGCTGTCGCAGGCGAAGGTGGGCCAAATGCGGGCGCCCTTGCAGGAGCGCCGCCACAGCGTACGGGACACGGTCGGGCACCCCGGGCATGCCGACCCCGCCTGTGCATCAGGTGCCACGAACTGGGGGTGGTGCTGTCCGGCGCCGATCGGCGGCCAGCGCGGTACCTCACCCGGCCAGCGGCCCTCGGGAGCCTGATGCTGGCCAAGCGCAAGCGGGCGGTGCGATGGCCGGCCCGTTGGCGGCCCGGCGGCACACTTGCGGATGTTGCCACCGACGTCGAGGCAGGCCCTGGAGGCCCAGGCGCAAGGTCTGCTCGGCCCGCGCCCCACGCTGACTGCGAGTGAAATGTCTGAGCCAGTTGGCGCATACCCAGGCAAGCTGTCGCAGGGGCTCTCCCTCTCTCGACATTCCAACGGCCAGAGGGCTTTCGGGATCCACGGCCGGGCCCTCAAAAGTGCGCCCGCCCGGCCGGTGCGTGCGCCTCGCGGTGCGGGAAATGGCCGTCGAGATGGGCCGGCGCCTGGACGTGCTGTATGGCATGCTGCGCCGGCATTCGCCGGGGCACTTCTTCCTGGCGCTGGTTCCGGAGGCCGGGTCCGGCCCGGAGGGGGCGGGGGAGATGTACCTACCGGTGGAGGAGCTGGCTGACTTGCTGGAGGTGGACCTGGGCTGCATCCTGCCGCAGCTGGTGAGCTCCGCGCCCCGGCGGCCGGGCAGCCGGTGTATGGCCCCGCACTTCGCGCGGCACCCGGCCTGGCGAGCCTGGAATGGGTGATGGCTGCATATCCTGACACATTTATCATTGAATTGTGTGCTGTTGCGGCTGGTTGGGTGTTTTGTATTGGTGTCATGCCCTTTTGCCTTGGGCCGATGTGCAACCACAGACACAGCGGTCCGGTGCAGGGGGCCTTACTCTGTATCCGGACGGGGGGGAGGGGGGGCTACCGTTGCAGCTTTGGCCTCGGGTGTGTGTGGCTCGCATAAGGTGATGGCTCTCTCTTCCTCTCTCTCTTTCTCTCTCTCTCTCCCTCTCTCTCTCTTTCTCTCTCTCTCTCTCTTTCTCTTTCTTGCTCTCTCTCTCTCCGTGTGTCTCCCTCGCGACTGCCGGCGGCCGACACTCCTCCCTCGGGACATGCATGACATCGGCGGCACGAAGGACGTATGTGTGTGTGCGGGCGGCGGGCCTCCCGAGGGCCTTTTGCGCCGCCACTTGCCATCTCCGCCGGGCCTTGGCCGGTGCCTGTCGGACCCTGAGGCCCGAGGCATGCTCCGCATCACCCACGAGCATGCTTCTCGCCGACCATGCAACAGCTGTGTGGGCGACTGCCGGCCCCTGCGGCGCGCGGTCCTGGTGACGCGGCCTTCCGGGGGCGGGGGGGACGCATACAAAAGGCCTTTCCCGGATCGTCCCGGGGGACTCAAGGCCCCTTGTGGCTGGGCGTGCGCGCGGATCGCCCTCGGCCCGCGGTGCAGGCCAGTCCTGGGACCATCGCCGCCGGCCCAGCCTGCCAGGCTTGCGCGGGCCCCTCTCGGCGGACAAGCATGCCGCCTGGGCCCTCCCTCCTTGCCTTCTGCGGGCCAGTGGGCGAGCCAGCCGGCCACGATGGGCACTGGTGTCGCATGCATAAAAGGCGGGTCCAAGACATTGTGCGCCGGTGCCTGGAGCCAAAAAAAAATGTCCTTGGCGCAGCCTCCCGGTCGAGGGGAGGTGCGGGACTTTGCCGAGCGCGCCGCGATGCGTCGCACGGGGCAGCCCCTGTGGGCGGGCATGTGTTTGCCCTCCGCCGGAGGGGGGGGGGTCGCTCGGCGTGATGCAGTGCCGCGGCATGCCCATCGGTGGATCGTGCGTCTGTCTGCTTGGGCCCCGCAGCACCGCGTGTGGCTCCGCGCCAGCAGGTCCCCACGGCGGACCGGGCCCAGCCCCGGGGGGGCAGGGCCTGCGCGTTGAAGATGCGGTCGGCAATGGCGCCCGGGCCTCTTCATGGCCCTGTTCCGGGCGCGGGCCTCCCTCACCGGGCGGGCTGCATGGAAGCGGGCCCCGAGCCTACGGTGCGGGTGGGCCATGTGCTCTTGTGCCGCCCCACGTTGGGGTCTGGCGCTGCCGGCGGCATGTGGCGTGCCAGCGGGACGCAGGAGGATGGCGAGCCAGCCGGCGCGAGGGCCACGGGCGGCCGGTGCGCCGGATGGCCAGGGGGAGGGGGTGCTGGCCGAGGAGAAGACAGGGGTGTCCTTTTGGCGCGCGAGAAGCGGCACGGGCGACATGGACAGCGGCCTCCCCGGTGCCGGTACTGCGGCATGTGCACGGGCGACCTTCACGAGGTGGCCCGCGCGATGGCGGGCGAGCCGGAACGCCGGCATGGGCGGCCGCGAGGGCAGCGCCAGCAGCTGCTGGCACAGTGCCGGGCCGATGGCCCCCGGCCCGTTCCTCTGGCAGCCGGCCGGGCTGAGGCCGGTCGAGGCAAGTGTGAGCGGCTCGGCGCGCGGACAGGCACCGCCCGGGCGCCCTTGCCCCGGTCCCTGGTCGGCGATTTGCCCTCCCTGGCTGGACGCCACGGCGGCAGACACCCAGCGGGGCCGTGCACCCGCCGAGGATCCGCCATGGCACCACGGCCATGCATTCGGCACGCGCGCGCGACTCCCCGCGGTGGTATGGGTCCCATGCCCGGGGCCGGCATGCCCTCCGAAGGGGGCCGGGGCCTGGCACTGGCAGGCACCGGGGGCTCGAGGTGCGGCCCTGCTCGGCCCTGCACGACGCATACCCCCGGGCTTGGACGTGCTCATGGCCATGGGGGCCTGTGCCCGGGGCGGCCACCGAGTCCGTCGCGCACCGGCCAGCCGTGTGCTGCCTCCTCAAGGCCAATGCCGAGAGGCTCGGGCCTGAGCCGACCGCCGGACGTGACGACCCGGTGGCTGGCCCGTGTCTTTGCCCAGCGGGGCGTGAAACGAGAAAGGCCCCCGTACGCGCCACGCCCAGGGAGCGTCTTGCGGGGTACGCTCATCACCCTGCGGTGCCAGCGTGTTGGCGGAGGCCGGGGGCAGGAGGGACCTCCGACCGCTCCACCGTGGGCGCTTCCCGGGGGCGGGGCCGGCAGGCGCGAAGCCTTGCACGCCAGGCACATGCCGTGCGCCGCGGCACCAGCCAGCGGGCCATGCTGCTGCGCGCTCGGCTCCGGGGGAGGGTGTCCCCCTGCCCGATGTGCGCCGCCCGCCGACAGACGGGCGCCGATGAGGCGGCCGATTGGGCAAGGCACCCGCCACGGGGAGAAGCTCGAGCGGCCTTGTCGGCGGGCGTGCATGCCGGAGCCGAGGGGGACGGGCGAGCGGGCCCATGGCCAATGACCCGGGCGGTGGCGGCGGCGGGAGGCGGGGGGGGGGGTGCTCCTGGCGAGTGGGGGGAGGCGCCGAAAGGGCGACCGCGTGAGCAAGCCCGCCCGGGGCAGTCCGTGCTGGCGCGCCCGGCCTCCGCGCCTCGTGTGTCGGGCGCGGGCATGTTACAAACAAGCGCGGGCCGTGTCGCTTTTCGTGCAGGCCCATGGGCGGCCTGCCGGGCCGCTGAGCCCCGTGCGATGGATGGCTCCCAGGCCGGGCGCAGGGGCCCGTGCTAGCGGGCCGGGATCAGCCGCTGGCGGCCGGCTTGCCTGTGCCGTCGGCAAGCGCCGCGGCGGCAGCACTCGCGGGCGCCGAGACGCCGATGGCGCATTGCCATGTGTATGTGGCGCCCCGAGCAGATCGGCCCTGCTCCCTGTTCGGCTTTTCGCAGGGGGCATCCGGGCTGGGGAGGTGCCGCCGAGCCAGTGCGGCGGCTGGACTGCGCCCCCACGGGCCGGCTGGGGATACGCGCGCGTGTAGCCCGGCGGCTCGCCGCGTATCGGGCCCGTGGTGCGGCCCGTTGGCCAGGTGTGCTGCTTGCCCTGGCAGCCGGGGGCGCGGGTGTATTTGCAACCGGCGGCGTGGACCTCGCCCGGGCGCGCAAGGCGGAGGCCATCTCGCCGGGCGTGCTGGGTGGTCGAGGCTGACTCGGAGCGAGCGTCGGGGTCGGTGTGTCGCGCTGGGCCGCGGCCCCGGCGAATCGGGCCCCGGGGGTGTGGGCATGGGCGGAGGCCGTGTGCGCCGCTGGGCGCGGCGCACCTGCCGGGCAGTGGAAGGCGTGCCGGAACGCCGACGCGCCGAGTGTAGCTGGCGCACACGTTCCAACGTGGGGTCCGCTGCGGCGGTCGCGGGGGGGCGGGCGGAGCGACCTCGCCGCCTCGCCGCAGGCGCCCGAAGGCCGAGGGCTTGGGGCTGTGCCAGGCCACGGCTGGGCTCCCCACTGCCCCTGCCGGTCCTGGCTCGGGGGGGCCATCATCCGGCGGATCGGGGAAGGGGGCGACGTCAAGACGCATGGCCGGCGGCTTGCCAGGGGCCGGTGCTTTGTTGTGTGTCCGCGTGTGCATGCGTGCAGGTGGACCTGCGTAGGCAAGCAGTGTGGATGACGGATGTGGCTCTGAGGCGGGGCGGGGTGCCACGGTTGCGACGGCCATCGGCGGGCGGAGGTGGCTGGTGCCCTGCCCCGGCGGCAGGCCCGGCAAGCGGGACAGCTGGCCAGCGGCGGGGCCCGGCACAGCCACCCATGGCCGGCGGGCCCGAACAGCCAGCCATAGCCGGCCCCGGGGGGGGGCAGCGACGCACGTCGACGGGAGCCCGATGCGATGCCGGCCCGGGGCTTGGGGAGTTTCTCCACGGCCGGCGGCCGCCGAACGGGCCGGAACGCGCGGCCCAACTCGGGCATCCCCGCCTCCCGGCAAATCGTTGAGGTCCCCCATGAGATTGCCATTTGTCTTTCTTGTCAATGTGAGCAGCACGCTGGTAGGGATAGATCGTGTGCAGAGAACGAGAAGGAGGGGAATCGAAGGGGCTGATCTGGAATGGCGAGGGGCGTGCGCGGTTCCGCTCGGCCTCCGGGAGCGTGGCAGACATCGGTCCTTCTCTCGGGCCGGAGCCGACGCCCCTGCAGGTGCTGCTGGCTGGGCACGCACGCCGGCCAATCAAGACACCTTCCCACGCCGCACGCGTCGTCCCGGGGTATAGTTTGCGAGTGACGCCCCATCATCGGCGACGCGGGGCCCGCGTGTCGAGGCCGGTGGGGGGGGGGACGCGCGCATGCGTGCGGCGGCCTTGGGCCCGCCCTCTGCCCAAGCCCGAGGTCAGGGAGGGGCCTCCCCCCTCGGGCGCGTAGGATGAAGCTCTTGGCCGCGGCCCGTGCCGGGCAGTGTGCGCAAGTGTCCCTGGAGCCCCCGGTCCCGCCGGCGGACACCTGCCATGGTGTTCCTCCGCGAGTCCGCCTTTGTTGTGCTTTGCCCTTTGCCTGCCCGCTTCCTGGCCCCAGGCCGAGCCATGGTGCGCCCACCCCCCTCCGGCCGCCGAGAGCGGTCCCCAGCCGGCAGCAAGATGCCCGGGCATGCTTCCGTCCGAGCCCCGCTCCTTGGGCGTGCCACGGGATTGGTAGCAGCGACCGGGGGAGGGGGCTGACTCGGGCCTGCGGCGGCATTTGCCGTGGCCGAGTGACGGACCGCCGCACGGGCTGCTGTACGCGCGTCGCGAGCGCGTGGCTCCCCCCCCCCCCCCCCCCCCGGCTGGTGATGGCCTTTTCCTTGGGGGCAGGCGGGACGAGACCACGGCCAAGGGGCCGTCGGTCTCCCGGGCCCGGCGGGCCCGGGGGCGGAGGGCGACGCGTGCGCGGTCCCCGGGGAGAGCGAAGGGGACCGGGCTGCCCCGTGCGTCGAGTGCCCCTGGCTCGTCGGGAAACACACGACCGAGATTCCCCGCGCCCGCCGCGGTCATCGGCGCCATGGCCGTGCCGCTGCCGCGGGACCCCGGCTTTCCCCCCTCCCGCCGGTTATGGCTATGGGGCTGTGGGCATGACGAGAAGCGGCGGGCGCGAGGGACGGGGGGGGGGGCGGGCGGCGGGGGAAGAAGGCTGTGGGGTGCTCTACACTCCCGGGCACCGACCGCAGCGGAGGGGGCCCACTCGTGAGGGGGGGGGGGAGCAAGTGTGTGCACGTGTATGCTGGCGGCAGGCCGCTCTGCTTGGCCGGGGGCCGGGAGTGAAAGCCGGCCGCCCGGGCGGGGCGACACTGTAACTGGGCCCACACGGGCCAAGCCCAAGTCAAGGGGGTGAAGCTCGGCGAAGGATGCCAGTGTGATGTGTCACCCGGTCAGTGGGCTTCTGGCATAAGAGAGGGGACATACCGGGCAGCGGTTCACGGTCGTCTGTGTCCACACGAGTCAGTCGCTCGGCTTGAAGGCGAGCTGGTGGCAGGCAACAATGGAGAACACTCGGCTGGTAAACAGGGGTTCGAGAGGGAGCCTTGGGACAGGTGCTCTCGTCGGCCTGACTGGTGCTTCAGCCATGCTGCTGTGTGCTCTTCGACACGCAGCTGCTTCCCTGTGGAGCTTTGGGCTCGGTCGGGCTTGGGACACTGGGAGTCCCGCGATTGGGCTCGCCCACTGGCGTATCTCCCTCCTCGGTCGGGTGTGCCTGCGCCGCTCGACCTCGGAGGCACCGGGCCGCTGTCCTGCCACGCACTCCTCAGGGAGAACGCTGTTAAGAATATCATCCTCGCCCGATGACACTTGTGTTATGTAGCACAACGTGCTGTTTGGTTTATCGTTTCCAGGGGGATGCCACCACAGATGAACCGGTTATGCCGAGTGAAAGATGTGGGGGGTCATCTCAGAGACCTCGAGGCTGAGAGAGGCGGATTGGGGATATCGAAAAGAAAGAATCCGCAGACCGAGGCGTAAGGCCTGGGGGGAAGACACCGGCGGCTTGTGTCCCCGAATCTGTAGCCGCATCATGTGACGTATGTCACAACAAACGCAAATATGAAATGTGAGCCCAGAGACAGGGGCCCGGTCGGCGTGTATCACATGATGTGTCCCAGCTTCGGGAGGAGCCGGGCTCCATCCTTCCAGCATATTCTCGAACCTTCCGCCTCGCCGCGCGGTCCGTCCCTCGCCGAATCCGCCCTCCCGGTCCTGAGGCTGGTGGGATCACGCGTCCGTCCTCCTCGGCGATATAACCCTAACAGGGTCAGAATCACGCAGTTGGCCGCGAGCTTGGTCCGTGTAAACAGTACACAGGACAGCCCTGTGAGTGTGCGACGAGCCCCCCCCCCCCCCGGCCTGGAGCTCGGTTCCTCGCGCGCACGAGGCTGGCACCCGGATCCCTCCGTGCCGCGGCGGGGACTCGATTCAACGCGCTTCTCTTGTTCGCCCGAGTCACGCCTTTTGCTGGTCCCTTGCAGAGTGGCTGGGTCGCCCTCTGTGTTGTGCTGTGGGAGTGGTGACATCCTTGAATGGCATCCCCCGTCCGGGAACGCGGGACGGGACAACAGCCAGGCGGCTTTTGAGGCCGAGCGTCCATATGTCGCCCGGCCGAGCATGGAGATGCGCGGGTGGGCGGGCCCCGCCGCGGGGACCGCGGCTCGGCCCCCCTGACCGAGCTCGATAACGGGAAAAAAAAAAAGGGGGGTCTCCCGTCGGGAACCTCCTGAGGGTGAGGGCCTTAAGCAGCTGTGCGCCGAAGAGTGCACGAAAGGATGGCAGGATGGCGCGCGCTTGGTCTGAGGCTGCCCCTGTCGGGTGGCGCCCGAGTGGCCGGCCATTATGCCCGTCGCCAACTGACCCAAGCCCAGCCGAGGTGCTGACTGGTATGGGGACAGACGGCCGTGAACCGCCGGCGCTGGTATGCCCTCTGCCTCTCTTCCTGCCGAGAGCCTGCCGGCCGGGTGGCAGATCATACCCGGTACCCTTGGCCGAGCCCCGGTCACTTGCCTGGGGCCCGAGCCACATGAACCCTGTCACAGCGAGTGCGGGGCCCGAAGCAAGCGGCCAGCCGTGGAGGCGTGCGGCAAGAGCATGGCCTGGGGGCCTATGGGGACCCCCTCCCCCGGCAAGGAGCCGCGCGAAGTAGCCGCGATCGCGGGGCGACGCCCTAGAAGGGGGCGAAAGAGGGATGGGACGTGGGTCGCCGGGGCCGAGAGCCCCGGGGGGGGGGGAACCGCGCGAGCCACCCGCAAGCGGAGAGGGGGAAAACCCTCCGGGGGCGGCACAAGCATGCAATGTGAGCCCAGAACCCAAGAGAGAGAGAACCCACGCGGGCTGGTCGCGGGCTGGGGGAAGTGATGCGCCCCCAAGGGGGGCAACCCTCGTCTCGAGAAAAATGAAAAAAGCGGGCGGGGCCGGAAGGAGGCGCGGGGAGCCGAGAAGGGGCGCCCGCAGAGATGCCGATGGTCCCAAGTGCCACCTCGACATTGACACGCCAGCCGAACCGGTCATGCCGAGCGTGTCCAACAGGTGCTAATGCTCCCATGCGCCACCTCAGCACGGGCATATGCTAGCCCTGGGGTGGACGCGGCAAGACCCGGCCTGCACTGGCATCGCGCCCAGCCCTCGAAGCCTGAGATACATAGGCCCCGCGGGGTCGGCCCTCGTGCCGGACCATGGCATTCCCCCTCCGGGGGGGAATATACAGGGCAAGATCGTCGGCCCGCCGGCCGACGAGGGTGCGGGGCCAGTGGTGTGGGCCCGCGAAGGGATGCAGGGTTCTCGGGTCTTCATCGCCCGGCCCTGGTCAAGGATCCACCCCCCCCCCCGTGGGGGAGCCTCCCCTGAGAGCGAGAGGACCCCAGCAGCCTGTTTGTGTCGAACGTGTCGAGCATATTATTTCCCCCTTTGAAGCCTCGATCCAGCTGCCTGTTTTAGAACCCCCTCTCGAGCCCCCAACACGGATGGCTTTCCATCTTTGCTTGCCCCTCGGTTGAGTTAGCGTGCTCTCGGTACTGGCAGCCTCATCCCCCTTGTGGCCGGGCCGGCGGTCCCTAACCGGTGGTAACCTCCCCGGCATGGCCTCCGCCGAAGCTTCACCCGCCTGACGTGACAGTGGGCCCGTGAGAGCCCTGCTACATGATGGCTACGGACATCCAGCCGGCCTGGATCGATAGTGCGCCGCGGCGACAGACGGGTGGGGTGTCCCCCCCCCCCCC